CCCTGGGACCAGCTGCAAGGGAAAAAGGTATACAGGAGGTGGAGGAGACAAGACCAAAAGGTGAATTTGTATGGACTTGTGTGCAATTTGTATGGACTTGTGGGTAAAGAAAGCAAGCTGAGTTCTGTGGCAGAGAGACAAAATATTTTTGTAAAGGTATTTTGGAGGAATTTGAATAAAAGAGGCCAGAAAGAGGAGTCAGCAGTAGTCAGGGGAGAATGCAGAAAGGATGTGAGCTTTGGTTGTTGCAAGAAAGGCAAAAGGCTTCTCATATTCATATGCTCTATGGCTGTAAATTGGGAGTAGCATAGGCTCTCTATTTTACAAGCTCCTTTTTTCAGAAATAAGTTTGTGAGCCAAAGCAAAGGAAAAAGATGAATGGATTGCAATAATTGCCTTTTAACATAAAAATACATAAAATTTACAATTCAGTTAACTTATCAAATGTTAAAAAAAAATCAGCAAATAATGGACATCATTTGTTTTGTTCAGAGCTCAGAGGTAGAGACCAAATTCTGTAAATTAATTTCTGCAAAAGCTGTTTTTTTGTGTGCTTTTTTCTTTTTTTTTTTTCTTCAAACAGGTCTGGATCCTATTCGTTGTAGAATATACTGATTACCAACTATTTTTAAGAGCTTTACACAAACATTATTTCTTTTGTTGTGTGAAATGCAGAATCAGCCATCTGGCAAATGCCCCAGAGCTAAAATCTTTTACATGACATATAATTCAAAATGATTAAATATACAACAGAAAATAGCTATAGCATTGCACTTAAAATAGCATGAACTTTTACTGCCGATCAAAACTGATTTCTTTAGCTTAACAAGTATCCAAAGAACAATTATTTGAAGAGCTTTTAAGAGTTTCAATATGTAGGAACCAAACCTCATCTAAATTCAGTGTCTTAAGTCAAATAAAAAAGAAACAAATGTACAAAAGATTAAATGGTCCTGTGTTGTAAGTAGACATTTAAATCGATGGGAAGCTAAATTCATGTGAACAAAAATACTGTATCCCTTGTGTGTGTTGCTGGGGCTTTCCTCTCCTTAGCAATAGGGGCATCTGCCAAAACAGCTCCTACATTCTTAGGCAGTGATTGGGGACTCGCCTGGAATCAGAGCGCTCATCCCCTGCCTCCATCATCAGAGTGGTGATTTCAAAGAAGAACAGCGAAGAAACATCAATGTGTGCTCCCCAACTCCAGCCTTTTTTTAATTTTTATTTTTTTCCTTTTTTCCCTGCACTGCACTCAACTCCAAGTTACACTTGCTGTCTTTCTCCAGAAATACTCCAGGCCTGAAAAACTGCCAGGTCCTCACCCTGCGCCCAGTTCTCCAGTAGTTTATGAGAGATGCACGCAGACGTGCGCCTGCTCTTCGGGGTGCATGAGGGTAGGTACAGAAATATCGCCCTGTGCAATTACTGACGGGTTATGGTTGTTCCACGTTCTTCACACAAGTCAAAGTCTCCATTTCTCAGGCAGCACCAGGCGCAGGTCGCAGCAGATTTCAGTCAAAGAAGCCTAAATGTAGCAGATTTATCTCGTGGACTTTCATACTTGGATAAGCCTGATGTGGGGGAAAACATCTCTGCTGAATTCGAAAAAATTGCTTTTAAATCCTTTCAGGCCTCCATCCCACATTAATGGTGGGAGGTAACTCTAAGTCCATGATTACTAAGGCTTAGAATTACAAGGTGTTCCAATCTTGCCTGTGGAGTTGGGTCAGCCTCAAAAACAAGGAAAACTGGATGGTCTAAAACCAGCCTTGTTAAAACTGGAATGAAATAATGTTCTTGAGTCTTGATCTTTTCAGCTTTTAATGATTCCTCAAGCAGCAGGTCTTTTCCTGTTGCTTTCTACAAGATGTTCAGGCTTCTAGAAATCCTAGGCTGATTGCTGGCTGGCTTGGGACTGCAGCAGCACCAAAACCTTTTCTCTTAGTGGGCACTTGCCTTGGCTTTTTGGGCCTAATCCTGCTCTTAGTAACATGCATGTTAGTTTAGTGACCTGACTGAGTTATAGAATAAAGGCAGGCTTTGTGTCTTCCTATTCTTGGTCTCATACAAAGAGATGCATGTGTTTCAGGTAATACTGACTGCAGTGCAGAAAGCTGCCACCCTATGCACTGCACTCGTACTAATTTAACCTGAAAATGGAACGCAGAAGTAGAAGCACAAATTTTCTCATATTGCAAAGAGCAAAAGTGTGTTTCATACTATTTAACGCAGCATCAGGAGAGCTGCAGGAGAAACAGGGCAATTTTCATCAGAAGTATCTTTGCTTTTCATCAGAAGAGAGGTGACCCAGGCGATCTCCTATCGTGCTTCCCTCCGGAGAACAAGATTTCTATTTCTGACAGTATTTTCTCTTTGAAAATGATGGGCCTCTCCAATATTCAGGGGTCCTAAAACTTGAATCATTTCTCTTCTTTTACCAACCTGCTTTGCATTGAACATAACATCATATATTTCCTACTTCCCCCTGAAAAACTGGGAAATCCACCTCTCTTTCTGTTGACTAAACCCTCTTACAGAGGTGCCAGGAGACCAATTTCTGGGAGAGAAAAAAAAAAAAAGAACACTCTGACTGAAACAGGAGTCCTGTCCCAGTGCCTATTCAAAACAAACAGTGTATCTCCTTACAAACCAGTATTATTATTCTTATTTATGTGCCTAATTTTGTGTACTTCGCAATACTAGAGGAAAAAAAAAAGATTGAAGATCATATGAAGAACGAAGAGAAATTTGAGCATCCCCAAGGAAACAGAGGTTTGGGGATGGAGTAATAACTGCAAGACTGCAATGAGAATTTGGAAAACTTTGCTAGAGTATAACAAAACTGCTGCTGTCATTTCATTCTCTGGGCCTGATTATATCTTCATGATGGGCCTTTGCTCTGCTTTACAGTAAGAGCTCTTTAAGTAAATGAGGATCAGACCTCCGTGCTAGCGAAATGCAAAGCTTGCCAAATTTAATAGGAGTCTCTACGGTACTCTACGAACACTCATCTTGACAAAGAAGTGGTGGAAGCAAACTCTGCAATTGTAAATGGAGACTATTTTTTTTCCAGTCTTCTGGAATGAGAGCTGGGTGCTGCCAGTTTGGCAGGAAAGTCAGTGCCAAGGCAGTATGCTTCCTTGCTCTGTTTCCCAAACGGCCAAGAAACAATCAGAAATTGCTTCATAATAGGGCCAGGGTGAAAGGTGAGAACTGGAGTATTCTTTATGCCTGCTTCCAGACCTGAGGAAGATAGTGTCGTTTTGGTAAACCTGTCAAGCTGTTGTAAGAACTTCCTGAATGCTTCCTACCATCTGCTTTTGATGCTTTCAAGACTTGGCTGGAAGCCTGGAGGTTTTCCTGCTCCTTCCTGCCCAACCTATAATGGAGTAATTCTGGATCTGTTCCCTGTCATTCCAGCCTCTTCCTCAGTTTCTTCTGCTTACAGCTGGGCTTTTTTAGGTTTTTTTTTTTTTTAACTACAGTGGCCTTGTGCCCTGAATCATCTCTCCTGGGGCAGAAAGTGTTCCTCTGATGTTGAGCAAGTGCTGGGTTTTTCAATTGTGTTCATGTTCTTAAGAGGAAGGGTCTGGCCTACATGACACATTCCTTCTTCACACTCGCATCAACAAGGTTAACTTTGTGTCCCGGCTTTGCAGGGAATGGTCACACAAAGCACATCTCCAGCAATGCCGTCCGGCCGCACGCTGCGCCGCTCTGGGCAGTGAATATTGATTGATATAATTCGTAGGGTTTGAGATAATTGTCACCAAGGACAATGAGTTCAAAGAACAGATTAAAAAACAATAAATTGAATTCCAAGGCGTTCCCTCCTGTACTAATCTGTGTAGGTTCCTGTGTTTTTGGAAAGCATGTTGCTTATCTTCCTCATCAGTAGGCCCACTGCATTCCAGTATTTTGGATCAATGCCATTTGTAATAATCTAGATCAGTTTTTATTCAACGTTTATAAAACAGGCCATGTATCATAGGGTATATTTTATAGCAGATGGTATCTCCAATTCATTCAGCTTCCCCCCTTCACTTCCCTCCTCCGACATCATAGTGCACACTCACAAAAGCTCTTGAAAGTAGAGCTGAGCAGAATTTTTTTCAACAAATAGTAAAATTTCTGAAAAAGGGAGTTTCCAAGCAACAAAATTGTTCAACTGTGGCATGCTGAAAATGCAGCATTCTGTCTTCTAGAAACACCAGGTCTTGTAATTTGGATATTTGGAAAAGAAAAGAAAAAAATGAGGGGGGTGGTTCCTTTGAAAAGCATTTTTGTTTAAAAATAAAAAAATAATTTATATATATATGTATCTGTACTGAAAAGGGTGATAAACACAGAGTTTAAATAACCAGAACACAAAGCACTTGTTTCAGGTCAGATTATCTTTTTGAGTTACCCTGGTGTCAGGTGTTGGGGGTTCTTCTGTTTGCATATTATTTGTAATGCTTCCCTTTTGACTTCATGAGAAGTGATTTTCATCAAGGTTTATTGATTTGGGGACTGATCCATGAGACCCAGTCTTTGTCAGATTTGTCTCAAAACACAGCTCTGGAATGTGAGAAGACAGTTTCCTATTTAGCAACGTATGAGCCCTAAAGCCCATTTAAATAAAAGGGGCTGCTCTCACACTTGAAGACGAGCAGATGCTAAAGCCCTGTGCTGGGTCACAACACAGCCTGCCAGCTGTCCAGAGGAATGCTGCACACCTCACTGCCATTCCTTTCCCTGAGATCATAATGGAGGAGATTGAAGATTTTCCTGAGATTAAATTACTAAGTGGGAATACAATTATTTCACTGTAATTTTACAAAACGTGACCAGTACCACTCTGGGGATACATAAATAGCTGAGAAGAATAAAGATTTAAGAAATATTTTAGCTTGGCGATAACAGAACCAAAGCACTTTTGAAAGTCTCTGCTTTAACCACCTGTCCTAAAAGCTACAAGTGCATGACTGGGGTTTACAGTGCCAAAGAAGTTCTCATACCTGCATTTCTGAGAAATGTCAGCTCATAGTCAGTGACAATTCTGGTTTCAGGATTATAGAATCCATCACCACAGTCGTAACATCCTGCTGGGATTTTTCGAGGAGGATCCAGGTTGGTAAGCTGAGAAATGCCTAAATTAGAAACAACAACCAGAAAGGGTTTGCTTTATTTGGCTGTTTTCCCCCCCCACCTGCATTTGTGACTTCGCTCAAAATAACTAAGAAATATTACGTCTCCTTGGCGTTTGCCACAAAAACAACATCGTCGCTTTACAACGAGTTTTATAAAAAAGTTCTGACAATTTTGCTGACGGAGAAATGCACGGAAAGATCGGGGTGAGAAGATCTCGCCCATCTCCCCGTGCCGCGACTCCGCCACGGAGCCAGCAGGGCACGGCGGCCCCAGCCGAGCACGGCAGCGCCGGGGACGAATCCCGCGCGCCTCGGCTGCACACCGCGCTCCGTTCGGCTCTCGGCGCTGCGCCAGGCCGCACCCCCCGCCGCACGCTCGGGACGCGCACTAACGGCCTCGGCCGGCCCCGCCTCCTCGTGCCGGGCGGCCCCGCACGTCGCTACCTGCGGCTCTGAGCCCCGAGCGGATCTCGCTGTAGAACCTCCTGTCGTAGCCGTCGCAGTAATCCCACCTTTCGGCCGCGTATTCGAGGCCGTCTGCAAAAGTGAACTTCCCCTGCGAGGCACGTCCCTGGGTGCCCGGTGAGAGCCGGCGGCTCCCGGGCCGCGACCCCCGGTGCCGCCCGCCCTACCTCCACCGGCAGCCCGCGGTGCCACACCGCGCGGAAGGTGCCGCCGCCGGGGAACAGCAGCTCGCCCCGCCCGTGGAACGCGCCGTCCCGCAGCTCGCCGCGGTACTCGGTGCCGGTAGGCAGCGTGTAGGAGCCCCGTCCCTCCATCCTGCGGGAGAAGAGGGGCGGTCGGAACCGCTCTCCCCGCGCCGTCCCGACTCCCCCCGCCGGTCCCACCTGCCGCGCTCGGTGTCGCCGCAGAAGCGGCTGCCCGTCACCTCCATGGCGGCGCTGCGCGGCGCGGTCGTCATGGCAACGCCGCCGCCCGGGTGAGCAGCCGAGCTCCGCCCCCCGCAGCGCCGCCGCAGGCGCGGTCCCGCCCTCCTAGCGGCGGCGCATGCGCGGTGTCGGCGGGGCGCTGAGGGGAGCTCAAGGAGAGCGGCGCCGCCATGCCCGGCACCGTGGAGGTGCCCTCCCTGGAGGAGCTCGATGTGCAGGAGGTGAGGCAGGGCTGGGCTGGGCTCGACTTCACCGGGCGCCGCTGAGGCGGCCGCTCCTATTGCCGCTTTGTCCCGCTGCAGGTGACGGTCAGCTCGGCCGTGCTGAAGGCCGCGGCCCACCACTACGGCTCGCAGTGCGACCGGCCCAACAAGGAGTTCATGCTGTGCCGCTGGGAGGAGAAGGACCCGCGGAAATGCCTGAGGGAGGGCCGGCAGGTCAACCAGTGCGCGCTCGACTTCTTCAGGTGAGCGCGGGTGCTCAGAGGTGCTGAATCCGCCCTGGAGGCGGGCAGTGGCGCTGAGCGGGGGGCGTCGTGCCTTCTGTGTTACCTGCTTGAAGTTGACCTTGTCCTTTCTCGCTGCTGCAGAGTGCCTTGCTGCTTATAGATGTGTTATGAAATCTGGAAAAGAAGCTGAAATTCCGCGCTGTCACCTGATTCACGTGCACACTACTGTAATAGCTCTGTTAGCTTCAGAATTGAGTTCTTACGACAGAAGTACGGGTGGGGGCATGTGTCAGTGCCAGCGCTGTGTTCCTGGGCTGCCAGCACAGCGCCTGGCTCAGCCTGCTTGGAGCATGTCCTCTACTTTTGTAGTGGGCAGTAATCAGAGCCTTCCTCCTTTCTGAGGTGAAGACATCAAAGTAACTGGGAGTTCTTAGAACACTGTATATTGTATGCTATGTTAGTTAACCAAAGGAACATCACACGTGGGGGAGCTGCATCCTTCTACTTCACAAGAACACCCTCCACAAATTGGTGAAGTTGCTGCTATCCCTGCTTGTAGCCACAGTGATGCAAACTTCTGTGATGCTGGCATTAGGTTCTGTTTAATGGTGTTTCAGATACTGTCTTCTGACAGCCTTAGGTGGGTACGAGGAATTGCAATGAGGAGAATTCAGAAATTGAGGTTTGAATGAGTAAGAGAGGAAAATATTAACTATACCACTTGCCAAAGATTTTCTTTCTGCAATCTCTTACAGGAAGATTAAAGTACACTGTGCAGAGCCATTTACTGAGTACTGGACATGCATTGACTATAGCAACTTGCAGGAGCTCCGTCGATGCCGAAAGCAGCAGGCAGTGTTTGATAACTGTGTGCTAGAGAAGTTGGGCTGGGTGAGACCTGATCTGGGACAGCTCTCTAAGGTAACTGTCTGCCCTTTTGATTGGGTAATCAGATTCCTCTTTTCCTTCCTACATGCAGTTTTTTTGACCTGGTGTCAAACTTTTCTTCCGTCTTAGAAGGTGGTACACGAACTCAGCACTGGAAGCTTGCAGACTTTACCAGAAATCAAGACTCTTTCAGCATTCTCTAGCGTTCCTGGAAGACCTGCACTTTGCTCATGCTTCTCCACCTAATTTACTTTTATCTAATGCAGAGATCCTTGCTTTAGCAGTGAAGCTCGCACGTTTGTGGACCTGTGACATAGTTATGTATAAAATGCCCTTCACTACCTTTTTTTTTTTTTTTTTTTTAATCACTGGAGGTAGGAGTCTTTCATCCAATCCATGCTGCATCCTTAGCGTGATCTGCTGGTGCTTCCCTTAACCTGACTTTTCTGTTAAACGCCATAGGAAGTTGCATAATTCTTTACTTTTTCTTTATAGGTCACAAAAGTGAAGACAGACCGACCTATCCCTGAGAATGCCTATCATTCTAGACCTAGGCCAGAGCCCAATCCACCTGTTGAAGGAGAGCTGAAGCCTTCTCCATTTGGCAGTAGGCTTTTTTTCTGGACGTGGTAAAGTGGGCAGACTGTGCCATAACTGAAATGCAAAGGTACATTGATTGCAAATGTAAATTGTCCAGTACATGTTGAGTATGACTTTAACTTTCATGATTAAAGATTTAAAAAAAAAAAAAAGTTATGTGACTTAGCAGACTTTCTTTAAACATACATGTCTGTATTTCTTAGCTGCTATGATGTGTGAGTATCTCCACTTTGCTCTGTGTTCTCTGTATCCCACAGTCCTGGGGGCCATCTTAATGCCAGCTGTGATGGTTGCTCGATGGTGGCTGCCAGCCCATGTCTGAGATGTGTATAAATATAGTTTACATCTTTGCTGCTTCAAGTGATCAAAAAACAGTGTGAGAACCCTGTCATTTGCATCAAGTAGACTTGGAAAGCTAACAAGACATTAATGTCTTCCTGTACAATCTTGCAACCAGTAATTGTGCAGATTTTTACCCCTACCCTGTCTAGGAGCAAGCTTTTAGTCTGAGTTGGTGGCTCTGGTGGGTGTGAGATCAGCACTGCTTTCGATAACAGGATCCTTCTCATTACCAGCTACTTAAACCTCATGCCAGGTTTGTTGGTTACTTTTGTTTATTTTTGTTAATGGGGAATGCAAACTACTTCATCAGCAAATCACAGTGAATCAACTCCTTTAAGAAAGGCTGTCTTCTAAAGGACCTTGTTCTGTTAAGCGGTTTAAGAAGGTCCCTCATCTTCTGATGAAGGGCCTGGCAGGGGCTTGGGCAGCGTTGTCTCACTGATTCCTTCTGATAGAGGAGTATGGCAGCTTTCTCCAGCTAACTTTTCTGCAGTATCCAATCTTATATTTCATCAGTCTAGTCTTTCCCGTGCTCTTCTCCTCCAATGACAAGAACCGTATCACAAAGGTCAGAAAAAACAAATGGACTTGTCTTCATAAAGCTGTGTGCAGTTCAGTTTGACCTGGGCCAGATTGTGTAGTCTGAACCACAGCAAAGACTTGAATAGTACTTTACTCCTTGAGTAGGCTAACAGTGAAATCGGGACCTGAAGATTTAATATCTCCTTGTTTGGGGTAGGATTAAGCTTAATGTGTCTGTAGCTGAAGCATGGATCCACGGAGCTAGAGGAAAAATTATATAAGCTTTATCTAAAAATAGCTTGTGTATGGTGTGCCTGATGGATTCCTGCTGGTTTCTATTTGGGTATGTAGACTGAGACTCAGAAGGCAGGTGCTGTGGCATACATGTTTGCATTTTAATGTACATATCATGCTGTCTTAACATCTATGTGTCTAAACCTTTGCAGTTTTTCCTTACAGGTGACTGCCATTATTTCAGAGCAGCCATATATTACTGAAGAAAAATAACTTCTTTTCCCCAGAGACTGAAATTAGAGGAAATTTGAGGTCTAATTGCATTGATCTGTAGTGTCATCAAGTAGAAGATGCATGTTCCTGTGATGTTAACATGTACTGCATCTAATCTTGTTGACCCATTCCATTACTTGGGCAACCTTACAAAAATATATTTTATATATTAGCAAGACATAGTAAGTAATAGCTTTAAATTGTCAGCATACTGTATGAAACATTTTGGAACTGAACATTTGCTTTTGAGTGGACATCCTGTAGTCAGCTCCTGATCATAGTTAGAGGTGTAGGTGTTTTTTTTTTCCCTGTTAAATTCATTCTGAAAAGAATGACATTGGTAAGTAGGTGGGGGGGATGTGTTTAAAAATCCCATGCTTACATTGGCTAGTACTGTACGGGGGGGGAAGTACTGTAAGTGGGGGAAAAAAGATTTAAGCTGTAACCCCAACAGTTTAAGTCTAGGCATCCCTCCTGCCAGCTGAATCTCCTATGTTTTGGATTGCAGGCTGTTGATCCTGTAGTTATGTGTTGGCCTTGTTTAAAAGACAGAATTAACTGCTTTCTTAGATTCCCAGTTGAGTTTCATGCAGGAGTGGGAAGGTGAATTTACAAAGAGTACAGCAGAGGAGGATAATGAAGTGATCGTAAAGTCAAGTGCAATTCAGCTGCACTGTGGGCACTTCTTCCATTAACTTCTTTGAGGTAATTAGTTCATGGATTTTATCTCTTAGCTGAATCTCTGCAAAAAGTCTTGCCAGAGGTCTGTTTCTTGGTGCTTTGGACAGTGCCTGCATGTAGCTATTTCTGTTGAGAGTTGTTGTGTGGCTTTACTCAAATGTAGATTGTCCCTTTGGAGCTGTAATGTTTTTTTGGAAACTTTAGAACAAGTGAATGTCAGGATTGAGTAAAGACCATAAAACTGTTTTTGAGGAATGTATTGTGACGTTTTTTTGGCAGATGGAGAGCAAATGCACGCAGATTCAATGCAGATATTTTACTGGCAATGTGAGAAATGTTATTTGTTATGCTGTAGGCTCTAAGCTCTGCCAGAGCTTTTAATCGTGTGTGAAATTAATAGAACTTCAAGCCAAAGTGATGGCAGTCTGCCCCGTGCCGTGATCTGCATTGGGCAGAAAGCAGTCCCATTCAGTGTGGATGGAAAGAGAAAAATCCTGGTGCAATTTCTAGTCTTTGTAAGGGAGGGGTGTGCTTACTGTGAGGTACCAGCATCACGACATTGTTCCAAAGGGAAAGCACCCTGCAAGGTATGTCTGGCAGCTTGGTATCCCTGCTTCCACATGGTTCTGCTCCTTTCCCAGGGTGGAAGAGCTGGAGATGTTTTGGTAGCAGGAATGAGGGGAGTGCAGCAATAAGACCCTCTTGGCTTACAGCCACCAAACTGTTCATCTGAGAAAGCAGTGGGAAGGAATTGATTTTTAATAATCTCTCCTGCCTGTTTAATAATTCTATTGTGTGTCACTCATTCTTCTTAAAACAAAAAGACAACAAACAGACTTCTAGGATTCAATTTAGGTTGAACTAGCCTCAGACATTTGTGAGCTTGAGATTTGCTAGGACAAAAGCCTTTCATGTATTATTCCTCTGGCTTCTGTTGTTTCTACAATGGAGCCATGATAGCTGAGGAATTTTCTCTTTTGCCCATTCATAAGTAGAGAAAATGCTTCAAAGGTTTTGAAGAATCTTTATCATCAGAATAAGGATATTTCTGTGAAAGCAGAGAGCAAACT